CTCTCCCAAGCCTCGCCAGTCATTTCGTGATGCTCAAGGCCGCTCAGTCCCTCACCGCCTGGCCACGTGACCGATGATCTTCACTAACTCCACCTACATGTCTCTGCCACACATGTCACCCATCCCCCAGCGGGCTACTTCATCCCCTGGGCTCTCCTGGCGGCCCAAGAGCCCCCTGAGGGTCTGGCCGCCCTTCGTCTCCGCACGTCTCAGGCACTTCCTCCCGGGGAACCTGCTCTTGACTTTAAGCGGCCGTCCTATGCCACCTTCTTTATTAGAGCTAAATTAACTAGTGAAAGTGTTAATAGTTCACCCTTTAATGACCACCCGTGTAACTTCAAACCACCAGGTTTTCACAACCTCGTTCAGTTGTATCATGCTGCGACTGTAGATTTCTGTTACAAGAGTACATCTTCACTAACGCAGTTTTATTTTAAGAAACATCAAGTCATTACTACTGGTTAAAATCTACTAGTTTTGTAAGTTGTCTTACCTGAGTCCTCTTCTGTCCTCCTCCCCTGTCCTCGCATCAACCGTGCATACTCATCTCTCCCTTTCCTCCCCCAGGTTACGGGAGTCAGTATCCAATAACAGCTGCGGGCAGAGTCATGTGCATAATCTATGCTGTCACAGGCATTCCACTAACCGGCGTGATGCTGATTTGGACCTCTGACTTCTTCGGCGAACAGTTTTTCAAATTGTTCAAGGCAAAGGTTAGTAGTGTGTGATAGGGGGAGAGTACACATGAATATGGAAATGAACCTGCATGGAAAGGAAGTCTTCTCTCTTCTCTCTCTCTCTCTCTCTCTCTCTCTCTCTCTCTCTCTCTCTCTCTCTCTCACTCAACACACACACACACACACACAACACACACCACACACACACACACACACCACACCAACACACACCACACACAGAGAAGAGGAAGAGAGAGAGAGAGAAGAGAGAGAGAGAGAGGAGAGATGAGAGAAGATGGAGAGAGGAAGAACGAGATGAGAGAGGGAGAGGAGGGACCCTTGATTTCGTTTTATTTTATTTCTTAGGTAGATAGAAATCAATATGCCACTAGTGTGTACGATCATTGTTTCATAATACTTTGGACAGGGCATTCCAAGGCAAGATTTACAATTGATGATAATATTAACACGAAATAGTAACGATAATGCTATTAGCAGTAACGTCTATATTATCATTATGTTACACATTATTATGTATATATATCATTTATTAATTATTGTTGACGTGGATTATTTTTATAATTACCGTGAGTAGCACAGCGTTTTTGGAACAGTAAATAAAATAGGACTACCAGCGTTTTAGCTCCACCTAGATTATTTTATTGCTGAACTTTTGGAATGACGGCAGTATGTTATCATGCAACTTTAGTGATGTTTGGGGTAATAATAATGGTATCTCTGATATTAGTTGTAATGAGGATAACTTTTCTCATCAGCAGCAGTATTATTACATCTGCATTTTTATTTTTTTAGTTGTTTGAAGGAAATATCACCCCAGCTTTTTGTTTTTTTTTTCCCTGACGCTACTATTACTTACAGTCGTCCAAGCGTGGAAGCAGTTGATGTAGATGACTTCCGTTAAAATCATCCTTATTACTGTCGTAATGTCAGACTGCTATGATTACAGTGGCTGCGAGAACCGTAGTAATAATAGCATTAGTAACATTTTCATGGCAATTATCTGGTAATCAAATCGAAAATCTAATATTTACTGGAAGTACAATTTCTTTATTCAGTATAATTCTATGATTTTTTCATATCTTCTAAATCCATTTCCAAACCGAGAGAAAACATTTTCATTTCGTGACCTCCATTCTCTGCCTCTCAGTATCGCTCTCGGTACCTTCTTTTTTCCGAGTTGCCACAAAGGCAGGCAGGCCGAGCCACGTGGCCGACCCTCGCCCGGCCACCACGACGCGGCAACGTCCGTGTAACGATTTTTTATGCCAGGTCTCTTTTATTTAGTGTTTTGCCTTAGGTCTTTTTCATTTCCCCGTTTTATATCCTTTCCACGTTATGAATTGGTTTCTATAATGGCATCATCGTCCACATATGAATGATTTAAGTCACGCCACCGCGGCTTTTCCTCATTATGCACGGCACGAGACGTCGTCTGGCGTATTATCTTGTTCCGAAAGCCTCGTTGTGTGTCTGTATGTGTGTGTGCGAGTAAAGGCGATTGGTGGTGTAAATGTATCTGTATTGGTGTATATGTGACGGGAGTGTGTATTTATTTCTATAGCTGCATTTGCCACTCAAATGTCTGATTGTGCGTCACTTTCTCCCTTCCTTCCAGCTGGACGCAAAGAAGCAGCAAACCGACAAGTTCATCGCCCTCTTCACCCTGATTTACGTCGCCATCGGGTTCGTGGTGTTCATCTTAATTCCGGCTGGAATTTTCGCAGCCGTTGATTACTGGTCGTACCTGGATTCCGTCTACTTCGCCGTCATCTCGCAGACTACAGTCGGTTTCGGAGACCTGGTAACTGGTAAGGTAGACGATGTCGCTACCGGTTTATTCATAGATTTAGAAATAGCCCTTGGTTGTGCTGTATACAGGACTGTGCCGTCTGGTTTTATGGGAAAAGGTGTTAGCGGGTCCTATCTGAGAAAGAGCGGCCGTAGGTACGGGAATAAAACGCAAAATGCTCGTCCTTGTGTATTGCAGCATCGATTCAGGAGCATCGGCAGGTTGCTTGCACGCCAGTTGCTTGCTTTTCACGTCGTTGGTGAGCGACGTGAAGAAAGGACTTGCCTTGCCGGCTGCGGTCGCAATTCACCCAGCTTGCTTTACATACCGATTGTTTTGGTGATTTGTCTATAGCTTCATTGCAACCTTTCATGTGAGTCTTTTTGCAATACATGCTAGCAAGGGACACTGCCTTAAATGTTGAGCCTCAAGCATGAATCGTAGCAGTGGGCCTCGAATCAGGAGTCACTTAGATAAAACGAATTCGGATGTCAACCCGCTGTTCAACGCATGGCTTACAGCTCCAAAATGAGATGGCATTAGGTTTATTAGTAAGGTATTTGAATTCGCAAGAACCCGGCCTTACTAATAATGAAAAGTGTCGGGAAAATAAAGAACGTCTTTTATGTTTGACTAAATTTTGTTTTGCAAAACTGATGGGAATTGTCATCATGGTGATCGTGTCTTGCCGAAGTAATTCCCTATTTTTTTGTCCAGCTCAGGGACACTATCGTTCGCTCGTTTATGATGACAAACGCAAAGTAGATATGGACTGCATAAGGTGATAGTGTGAGGAGTAAGCGCACGTATCTACTTATGACTCACATGCAACACTGTCTTATTTAGGATATGAGATAGAAGGCTGGGCACGGGTTGTGTACCAAATCTTCGTCATCGTGTGGATCATGACGGGGCTCGGCTACTGGGTCACCGTGGTCACCTTCCTCACGAAGGCGCTCAAGTCCAGACGCCAGAGCTCCTTCCTGCGCAGCGCCGAGGAGATGAAGGCGTCGGTGCTGCAGATGGGGATCAAGGACACCGACCCGAGGTTCCTCAGCTTCGTGCAGCAGGTGAGGCAGTAGGAGAGGAGAGAAAGGGAGAGATAGATTGGTTGAGAAAATGATCGATGTATATCTGACAATCTACTTCTCTCACTCACTCATTCATCCATTCATCCATCCACTCACACACAGATATATATATATATATATATATATATATATATATATATATATATATATATATTATCTGTGTGTCGAATAACCTTACCTGTCCTCTAGCTGAGAAAGGTATATATAAAAATGATGATTCTTCCTATAACCGACCCCCCCCCCCTGTCCCCCCATTGCAGCTGAACAACCTCCTCGGCGTGGAGAAGGGCGCCTCTCACGACGCAACAGCCTTCCTCGGCACCTCTTCGCCTTCTGCAGCGCCGTTGATGAACTAAGAAGCTCCCTTTAACGAGGCCATTGAGCCCCGAAGTGGGAGAGTGGTAAGACAATGGCCATTAGGTTGTTAGAATTTATATTTGCAGTTGATAAATTGTTTTGTTGGTGAGAAAAAAAGCTACATTTTGTCTCCATTAATGATAACCTTATTGCCTATTACTTTGCTTATTAAGATAAATCTTTCCCAGGAATCAGCTTTGATGGCACGATACAGTTCAAACCAATCGGGAGTCCAACTTAAATCCTTCTATCATATGGCGTTAAGTTGGTTGCTATTCTTGGTAAAGGAGGCCACCCTTTTACACTTTCTGGCTCGGAATTTGATCGCGTCTGACTGGCACACCTTTCCGCGAATAAGTGGCTGGAAGTGCAACCTCTATCTGTCGTAGAAATACAAAGGCATTAAGCATCACCCATCATCACAGGAGGGCAAAGTGGATGCCATATGGACGGGCGAAACAAGCAAGCTGGGACGAGACTACAAAAACCGAACATCTCCAGGACTCAAGCGGCAAACAGGACAAGATGCAGTTGCGAAAAAAAAGAAGAAAAAAAAAGAAGCACCATGACCCGTGAAATCATTATGTGACAGAGGATGACACGTGATGGATAATTCCATTAATTTTTGTAAGACAATTTGTTTACTACTTAATGGAAACAATTACCTGATATGATTTCAGTTACTGAGATTGAAATTCTTTCACTCAGGACTGTACTAACATGGTCTATTCCATTTTTTTCATTAATTAAATCTTGCTGAAAATGAAATTACATTATGATTTACATGTTTGTCTTAATTGTAATGTAAGCTATATGTTTAAAACTGGATATTCAATATTTAGTGCAGATGTGGATTATAAAGAAATCAAGTTATTGGAATATCAATTTGTGTGATTGGCTTTGGATATTGGCTATATTATCATATTCGAGTAAAAATAGTGCATATATTTTTTAAAGGTCATTCACCTTTCCTCGCATTTATTTCAGCTAAATGATACAGGTTTAATGAGTTAAATCAATGAGAGTAAAATAATATTAGACGCTTAAAAGATAATCCATAAATAC